ACACTTAAACACCAGTCATCAATATCCTCAAATTCACCACATCTGCTCTTCAGCTCCTAGCATTTTCTCTTCTTGAAATGTTTCCCACTCCTCTCACCCATTGCAACTGGACCCAATTTTCAAGATCCAAATGAAATTCCCAGCCTCTGGGAAACCAGACAGCCCTGCAACCCTTGGCATGCATTGACCTTGGCCTCCACTCAGAACCACATTCATCAGCAGCCCTCATGTGACAGAGAATACACTTCCTCACTCTGTGACTTGCCGTTTCGTATCACCCCCACCAGAAGGCAAGCTTCAAAGAGGGCTTGGCCAGTGTCTTACTTCATTTTAAAAAAAAATATATTTTATTGATTTTTACAGAGAGGGAGGGAGAGGGATAGAGAGTTTGAAACATCGATCAGCTGCCTCCTGCACACCCCCCTTCTGGGGATGTGCCCGCAACCAAGGTACATGCCCTTGACCGGAATCGAACCCGGGACCCTTCAGTCTGTAGGCCGACGCTCTATCCACTGAGCCAAACCGGTCAGGGCGTCTTACTTCATTTTTAAATCCCCCAACATCAGGCTTTGCTCCTGGTAGGCATTTAATAAACATCAGTGGATTGACGGAAGCCAAAATACCAAGCTCTCAGAAAATAACCCACTTAGGCTGCATACGAATCTAAGTCAAGTGGAAGATGTAGCCACTGAAGCCTTTTGTGTTGTCCAGCCTGCATGGCCCATGGAGGGCAGGGTGCTTGCTTGGGCCAGTCCACGGCCTCTATTATATAAGCGTTCTATAGCTTCTCTGTGCTAGTGAGTCGGGGGTCTGACTCATAACATACTCTTTGGCTCCTCTAACCTTCAGCTAACCAGGGAGATGCAAAATAGGTTTTCCAGAGCCTTGCTATCCGCAGTCTGCAAGGGAACAGCTGGAAACAGAGGCATGAGCACAGAAGCAATTTCTGCAAGGTGAGGTCATGAGATTTGAATACAGGGTGAAGCAAAAGTAGGTTTACAGTTCTGAGTACACGAAACACAGTTCATGTATTATTATCCATATGAACAACTGAAAATGTACTTTTGCCTCACCCTGTATTTCAGAAGTACTAGGGGAATCCAGTGAGTCAAGGCAGACATCATTTTGTTCACAATGGGGACAAAACATGCTTTCTATGGCTTCTGATGGGTTCTGTAGCCAACATGGGCTCTCTTGGCCATTTCTGGGCTATATAAATGTTTGATGAAACTTTCCCAGGGGAAATCAATTTTTTATAAGAATTTAATGATAGCCCATCCAGATGTGTGATGACATGAGTTGACAGCTCATTAACCCTTTACCAGTTGAAACCTGGGACTGTAGAGAAGGCCTAGGAAAAAAAGTGGGTATAATAACACCCACTTCAAGCTCACACAGAAGAGAAAAATAACTGCCCTTCATAAGTTTTCCTGTCCAGAAAGCTGGGTTCCCTCATGTTTGACTTGGGTGCACACGATGTCACAGATTCTCCACTGATGGACACAGCATGCGCAACACCCCAGCTATGCCTGAGAACAATGCCCTGTTCTTCATTCATCCGTCTGTTCCTGGGGCGACAGAGCCACAGGAGTGCGGGGGAGGAGCATCACATCCCAACGAGCCTACAGTTCTTAGACTCCATCAAGTTAGCTCAGAATAAATGTCCTTTTGGCCTAAAGTTGGGTTTTCCTGGTGTGTATCAGATGCCTCACATGGATTGCTACAGTCTGAGTTTAAATTTTATACTATATTATAAAAAGCGGGCAAAGGCTAGTCCTTGTGCCAATGTACTGACTTCAACAAAAAGAACTTTCTGCATCCTTACTGTCTGCAGCACACACTGAGTTTCAACCCACTAGGAAGAAGGCATCACACAGATGGCATGGACTGGAATAAGACTCATCCCATGTCTTAAATCAAGTTCTGGGTATTGTCAAGATCAGAATGCCATCGTACCCAGACTCACCACTCACTCCTGTTGGGTCACTGCCAAAGAATCCTTTTGGCCATTTTTATTGCAAAGAGCAGCGAGAAAAAGGAAGTACTGACACATGCAATAACGTAGATGATGCTCAAAAACATCATGCTGGGCAAAAGAAGCCAGCTATAAAAAAGCATCTGCTCTATAATCCCATTTTGTGAAGTTCTAAAATAGGTCAAACTAATTCATGGTGGAAGAACTCAGAACAGTGGTGGCCTTGGGGAGGGGAACTGACTGGGAAAAGAAAAGAGGAACTTTCTAAGGTGATGGAAATAGTCTATATCTTGACAAGAGATGTGGGTTACAAGAGTGTACGAATTTATCTTGAACATGTAACACTTAAGTTCAGTTATTGTAGGTACATTATATCTCAAAACATTAAAAGGCACAAAAAGGAAAAAATCTTGTCTTGGGAAATCATCATCTTCTTCCTCCTTCTATTCCTTTCTTCATTCGATGAATAAACTATGAACTCAGCTAAGTATTAAGCTCTGCATGTATGTACTATGTGTGTATTAAGGTAAAGAGAAGACCTGTCTCCTGTCCTCACGGGCTTAGAGAGGAGACTAAGAGATCTTCCTTTGTTCTTAGCGCAGTGACTCTCAAACTTTTTTTGATCTATGGCTCACAGTGAGAAATATATCTTACATCATCTCTCTCTCTCTCTCTCTCTCTCACACACACACACACACACACATTCATGGGTGTGCAAGCATGTATACTTATCTAACATAACAATTTCACCAAATAAAACGTAACTTTACTACTGAGACATACCTTGATATTTTCTTTCTTATTCTATTCCAGTCAGGTTTAATCATAAAAAAAAAAAAGTCAACCCATGAAAGTGATTGTCTGACACCCTAATGGATGGTGACCTAAGGTCTGAAAAATACTATCCTGGGGCCCTGTGCTTCCCTCTAAGTGCGGCAGTGAGCCCACTGCGTAGATACTGTCTGTCTGTATGTCTATGAATACCTCTAGGGCAAAACTATTTTATTCCCTTTTGTGTGCCTGCTACTGAGCACACAGCCCCATCTCAAGTAACAATTTACCAAAACATTTATAAAACACAAAAATGTTATCAGCCTTTCTTAGAGACTAATTAATCTGTCCCCACCTCAAGAAAAAACAAAACTAAACCAACAGCAAACAAAATAAAACAAAAGCAACTTTAGCACCTGTGTGGCCTGGAATGCTAGCAACCTGGACTAGCTCAGGGTAACCCAGACCCATGCCCTGGCTGAGCACTGAGGAGGCTGGCAGGCTTCCTTTCCGCGGTGCTTCTGGTGGCATTCTGAGAAGACAGGCTCTTAATAGCTATATTTAATGAGGAGCCTAAGGCACAAAATAGCTTACTCCTTAGACTGATGTTAAAACACCTACTAACATCTCATGGAGGGTCCATGGATCGCCAAGGTTGTGCCTGACAAAGCTGCCCTGGGGACAAAAGAAAAAGGACAGGCCAGGAGCAGAGGTGCGGGGGACTGGCAGTCTGACTGGCCAAGTGTGCGATAAGCAGCAGACAGTGAGCGTAAGAAAGAAGTGATTCTCTTCCTCACGCTGAGAACAGGCTTCTCTCCCAGCGAGGAGCCGTTCCCCTGAGGAGGAGAAAGGATCCTGTTTGGGGCTCTGACCTCCGCTGAAGGACAGTGTTCAGATTGGCATCAACAAGCAGGGAGAACAAAGAGGCACCTAACAGTGACCAGGGCTCCGCTTACCCAGGAAGACAAAGGCACCCAGGGCGTTAAGGGGCTGAAACTTACTGAGTCAAAAACCCCTGGTTCAAGAGACAGGAATCTGTGTTTTAGAAAAGTTCCCCAAGCAACTCTGATGTGACACCAGGTTTAAGTACCAATGACCTACTCTAATTCTTCAGTTGGCCAGAGTGGGGCGGGGAGTGGAGGGGGAGAGAAAGCATAGTTCCAAAATAGCTCCACAGAATCCAGCAAGTTAGGCAAATCTTAGACCAGAGCCCCACATGATATTGTGAAGTGTGGGAGGTTTGTTTGTGGAGAAACCGAGGCAGGCAGGCAAGTATGAGAGGTCTGGCCAGGGGCTTGCAAACCCAGCGGCTGCCCGCTGCCAGCAAGAGGCAAACCTCGGGCCTCAGAAAGGAGACTGAGTGACCAGGATCTGCCTGAAGCCCTGGAGACTGGGCTGCTGATGCTAAGTCAGCTGGGGCCAGGCCCCGCCTTCTAATGACTGGAGGGAGAGGTGAGAAATGGTGTACAGTACACTTGAGCAGCTTCTGTTAGGACTGGTTCAGGAATTGGGCCAGGTTGGGCAGGTGGAAGGAATTGCAAGGCTCAACCACTACAAGGTTTGAGGGAAAGCAGCAGGAGAGCAAGGCTGACCCATACGGCCAAAGTAAAAAAGCTTGACCCTGGTGCCTGCCCCATGCAAAACACATGTGCCCACTATCCAGCTTCTCTCAATGTCTTGGTGCCACATACCAAGAAGTACGAGCCAGGTGTCAGGGGCATCTGAATGCCTTCCTATCCAGGACCTTAATTCGCAGCGAACCTTTGGTAGATAAACCTCTTAACCCCTACATTCCTTATCTACAAAATGAAGATAGGTTGGTGTATGGGCGGTTCAGTGCTAGAATTCTCGCCTGCCAAACTGAAGATAGTAAAACTGATTCCAAAGGGTGATATGACAATCAAATGAGCTAAGACTGAGAAACATGAAGTTATAAACATAAGGTATGGCATTCTAATGCTTTTGCTCTTGCCACTTCTACGTGCAAGTAGCTGATTTAAGGGAGACAGAAGAGCATAGTGGTTAAGAGCATGGGTTAGTAATCAGACCTGGGCACACATTTTGCCTCTGCCACTTATTAGCCAAGTCTGGGTAAGTCATCTGAACACCGTGGATTTAATCTGTAACAATGGAGAGAATAATGTCTTGCTCCAAGGATGCTGATAAGAACTGAAGGGGAGGTAATGTAAAGTGCTTCACCTGGTACCTGGGGCATGGCAAGCCCCTGGTGGATCATGGCTACTTTCTTCATGATTGTTCTCAAAACCCCTGAGCTGCCTGAACAATAGAACCGGGGACGCCTGACCAGATCTCCAAAACCAGGAAAGAGGCACCCTGGAGCCCCAGCTTTCAGCACTTACATCAATAAGGTCAGACAGGTCGTGGATGTAGTACTTGAAGACAGACGCATTGGTTGCCTCCAAAGCCAGTAAGTACTCATTCCGGGCTTTAATGGCCTTCAGCTTATTCTCCGTGTACTTGGCTTGGCGCTGAAAAGGGAACGAAAGCTCAATTTTACTTTTTTTAAAAAGAGGAGACTGTTCTCTAAAAGATGAAAGTACAGCACATTCAAGAACCACAATTGTGCTGCTACTCCCTATGCGCATCTTCCTTAAATTGGGTTCTAATTCTGTTTAATGAGATTCAAGGGCACAATGTAGATCAATCCGGGAAAGGTTAATGAGGCTCCCTACTTTAGATGCGTGCCCCACTTTGACTCTATCTGCAAATACCATTCTCCTTCCTTGCATGGCTACCTTGAAGGAGGTGTCACTACATCCACCCCTGAGCAGCTGACACCTGAAGCCAAACCTAGGTCTACAGTCCCCTTCCAGGCTTGGGGGAGGTGACTGCGTGTCTTGTTTATCTGTTACGGTGAAATCCAGGTGCTCACATGCCCAGGTTCTTCCAGATGCCAGACTCCTTCTGGGCAGGCATCAAGGACTCACTTTGGGTGATCAGGCACTAAAAGAACCTACAGCTCCCTTGTTCTGCTCTGTGCCTACTGGGAGATTCAGATTAGTCCTGACTTCCAGAATGCACCTCCTAGCCCCTACCACTGCCGGAGCACACGCACCTTCTCTTTCATCTTCTCAATCTTCTTCACTGAGCTCCTCCGGACGTGCTTCTCCTCAATGCGGATGTTGGACGAGGAGTCAGGGGAGCGTGGGGTCTGCCGGTCCTCCTGCTTTACCGATTTGCCGATCTGCTTTTCCTCCTGCTTCTCGGCCTCCTTTAGCTTGCTCTGAGCACTGATGCTGTCGGCATTGTACATGTGATATGTCTTCATGACCTGCAAGACACCCCGCCCCCACCCCAGAGGTCAAACCAATAGGGTCAGTTCTCTGCCTTACAGACTAACAGGCCTGGCCAGACCTCTCCCTCATGAAGCAATGTCTTCATGGGCCGAAGGGAAAAATTCTGTTTGGAGTGGATTTTAATATTATATATTAAAGACCACTCTAAAGCACAGGAAAGCAGGATTTGAACTGAGCCAACATGCCTTATTTTTAAAATGACTTCTTGTCTTCCACCATGTATTATTTATTTGTATTTATTATTTGTCATCATTACTCTTTTATATTGGCCAAGTAATCTCTATCCCTTAGTCATCTCACAATGCCAAGTAGATAGGAAACAACTCCACCACTCAGGCCCCAGAGCAAACCCTGGGTGGAAACCCTGAAGAGGGTAGCACAGCCTAGGGAGTAACCTTTACTTTTTGGACATTTCAGATATAAAATGGGGAAGGAAAAAAGGCTCCTGGCCTGGTATCCTGGGGATCTGTCTTGTCTGCTTTTTTTGGTTAATTCTCATCTGAGGATATTTTTACCACTGATTTTTAGAGAGTAAAAGCGGGGGGGGGTGGGGGGCGGACATTGATGTGAGAGAGATACATGGAGCTGTTACCTCCCCCCCAGGCCCCGCAACTAAGGGCAGGATTGAACCTGCAACCCAGGTACATGCACTTTACTGGAATCGAACCTGCAACCCTTGGGCGTGGGGGCCAACGCTCTAACCACTGAGAGCACCGCCCAGGGCTGGTCTGCTTTATACACATCAAACACTCTCTCATAGGAATTAGAAAAGCAGCAGCAATAACAGTGGCAGCTATCATTTCCTGAGCACTTAGTATATTCCTGGCTTGGTGCCAAGTGCTACACACACATTTTCTCATTTCATCCCTGCAGCAATCCTGTGACCGAGACAACAATCGGATGAAACCTGTAAACCTGCACAATAAACCAGGTAAGAGCCTGAGAAGGAATAAAATCCACATCACGTGAAACTGGAGTTGCCAAAGGAAGGAAGTAGTATCAAAGGAGAGGGATACCATTTTCCCATTTTCCATCAGAGCAACTGTCTGGGAGTCCAATGCCTTTTCTCAACTGAGCGGCCAGGAAGCTTGGGACTTGTGTTTGTTTAATTTCTACCACTTAGTACATGCTGCATGTCAGGCGCTTTATGAACATCACTTCATTTCATCCTCACAACAACTCTGGGAAAGACATGTCATTATTTCTACTTTTAAAGATGAGAAAACTGAGAGGTAAAGAGATGAACTCTCACATCCAAGGTCACACAGCTAGTAAACTGCAGAATCAGGATTTAAACCCAGGTTGTCAGGTCATTAAGACCACAGCCTCAGTCACCAAGCAGCAGTGTCGTCTCTGCAGGGGACCAGAGCTGACCTTATTGGAAGGAAAGGTTAAGTTTCATCAAGAGAGGCTTGAAAAGAGAAACTGGTTTCATTTACAGACTTGGGAAAGATCAGTGGCCTCACACGAAGACTAATTTGGTCCCCAGGGGGCATTTGGTACTGTCTGGAGACATTTTTTATTGTCACAACTTGGAGCTTGCTACTGGCGTCGAGTAGGTAGAAGCCAGGGATGTTACTAAACACCCTACCTACAGGACAGCCCCCACAACAAAGAACTACTGGTCCAAATGCCCATGGTGCTGAGGTTGACAAATCCCCGGTTAGAGGGACTTTGTGGGTAAACTAATATCTTAAGATCAGCTGGTGATAGAGGAAGGAATAAAGAATATTGGGACACTTACAAAATCAAAGTGCATTAGAGTATAAATAATGTCTCATTTTGGATGCAGAATGTTTTAAATCAGCTTCACCTTATTTTGAACCTGACATCATTTCCCATAAGTATAAGACCTTCTCTGCATATTCTCTACACAGGAGAAAGGATATTTAATATTGAGAGCATTAAAAACCTTTCTAAGTAATTCAAATGGTTCACCAGGTTTCCAGATTGACTACGAAGTGAGAAAGAGGCATCTGGTCTTGGGGTGAAGAAGGGAAGACAGGAGGCTCCTTTTTCTCTATTTTCACCTGAATGTGACCAAGGGATTCAAAAGCTTGAGTGAATAGTCAAAAGTGAATGATTTCTAAGAAAGTGATATTCTATTTCGTGAAGATGCATAATAAATAATTAGGAAATACTATCAATAAACACGAGAGACAATAAAGAGCTCAAAGGAATAGTGACATCAAGACAACATGTGAAGGAATGAAAATTAACAACTTATATTGCTCCTTCCCCCTAAAGAACGTAAAGAACTCTCCCAAAATAATGAAACACTATCTCATCTAAAAAACTATAAATTCCTAAGGGTAATCACCACTTCTTTTGTGTTTTCTTCTCTTCTCCAAAGTTGGGAAATATGTAGACAGTGGTAGTTTTATAATCAATGTGGTTGCCTAAATGACTTAATGACACTGAATCTCTCTTCTATGGAAAGAGGAGAGAAGTATCATTTCCTCCAACTCAAGGGAAAACTGAGGTATCCAAAGGCTACCTCAGTATAAGTGATATCAAAAGAATTGGAGAGAGAGGACTTGTAGAAATATATAGATATAGATATAGATATAGATATAGATATAGATATAGATATAGATATGTAGTGAGGCAAATACAAACTAGGGAAAAAATTCAAGAAGTCTAAATCCTCAGTTCTGCAAAGAGAATTAACTTTACTTTAAAAAACACAATATTGAGTTTGTCTTTAGTTCTCCCTCTCCAAGCCACACTAAAATAATAGGAAAAAGTTATTATTATTATTTTATTATAAATTAAGGCATATTTATAAGAATAAAAGTGGAAGACAAAAAGCAGGAGACAATTGTAACTGACCTATTGAACCCTAAACCAAAAGTAGAGAGCCAAGAAGTCAACCCCCGCCCCATAGTGGAAGACGAGAGGTTTATATTCTTAGGAGTTAGCCCCAGCACCATGGGCTCGGCCACCAGGGTCGCTGAAGATAGGAGTACCTGAACTTAAACTGGAGTAGCAACTGAAAATTCTAAAAGGACTGCTGAGATGGCCCAGGCCTCTGTACAACTTGGCCCCAAAACAATTGGGAGATAGAAGAGCTCTGTCTGGAGAATCTGACCGTCCAAGATCAAAGACCTAGAAAGACTAGTCTCTTTCCCCAAACACAGTCCAGTCAGATCATCCTACAGTAAAGGCCAGGTTGACATAGAACTTTAACCAGCTTTTCCCTGCCTCACTTTAAAATATAAGCAGGCAGCCCTGGCCTCAGGGCTCAGGTTGGCTCAGTTGGTTAGAGTGTCGTCCCATATGCTAAGGTTGTGGGTTAGATCCCCAGTGAGGGCATACAAGAATCAACCAATGAATGCATACATAAGAGGAACAACAAACTGTTCTCTCTTCTCTCTCCCCCTTTCTCGCTCTCTAAAATCAATAAATAAAAAGTAAAATATAAGCAGGCAACTAAAGATGATCAGACATTTAATGAAAATATCTAATATGAAAGACCAAAACAATCTATGTAGAGGAAACAAAGCATACAGGGGGAAAAACTTCAAAAACAAATCATCAATAATATCCCTAGAGAGATCAATGAGAAATGAAAAAATATTGCACCATGAAACAAGAACAAGATGCAACAAAAAGGGAACAATAAAAGAGCTCTTGGCAATTAAGATTCAATTTAAGAATCTCTCCAGGGAGCCTGACTTCATGTCCCTCCTCTGTGCAGGCATGTATTTCACTTCCTACTCTATTTTTCTGTCTCTTCTATTAAAACTAAGTGCCTTGAGTTCAGGGGCATCTCTTATATGTCTTTATATCCCTAGTGCCTAATGTTGGAGACACAAGCAAGCAGAGTTGGGGGGCTATCAGTTGACACTGTTTCAAGGGAGCAGGTGCTAAATACCAGTCCTGGCTCCCTAGCAGGCCAGCTGCTGCACCAAATCAAGGGGACTATACGCAGAGGAGGACTCAGAAGCATCAACCTCTGGGGACCAATGACCCCCATGTCCCAACACCTCTTCTTTCTTTCTCGATTCTAGGGCTCCCTTGACTCTTCCCACTCAGCCTACATTGGCTTTAGTGCCCCCACGTACACTCCTTCCTGGGGGGAGCTTGCCTGGCCTTTCCAGGCACAGCCTGAGTAAACTGAGGCAGAGAATTCCAGAGTTCTTTGGGATGGGAAGCAGCGTGCTCCGACTTCAAAGGCAT